TTATCTCTATCTGAAGTGTCACAACAAATCTAAGCCAAGCCAGCGGGGATTGGAAGGGCACAAGCCTCAGCGATGCTGGGGTCGGAGCTGGTTGGAGCTTGCAGTTATGGCTTCGCGGCTTCCCGGTAGTCGAACATGTTAGTACAACCAGCTTGAAACGCCAAACGTGGCAAGCTAATTGCCGTGTAACGAAGCGTGTTCGCAGGATTCGTGGTGGATCTGCACCGGAAGCTCAAAGCAGGGGCAGGGTGTGTCAATGATCGACCATTCAGGGTTGGAGCCGGTCCGCATCGAATCCCTTGCTTCGACCCATGGAGCCCTTAAGACCCCCATGAAGACTTCCAGAAGTGCCATTTCAGATTTCGGGTTCCAATCGCCGGCCTTTTGGAAAAAACCCTCCAAGCATCCGGCGCCTCTGAATTGCAGACACCCTCCATCTTGCAGTGCCTGCGGGCTTGTCGACCGCTGGCCTAAATACTTGACAGTCCAAGAGCTGTGATGCAAGAGATGGCAAGAGGTACTTCGGGAATTCCACGCACGGGGAAGCCTTCACCTCCAGGAAAATTCAGTAGAGCCCGCTCCCCCACTCCACTGAAAAGCCAGTAAGACCAGCAAAGGGCTCAAAGAGCTGGGCGGAAGCAGCGCCTCATGGGACCGCTGGAAAAGGAAGCACCCCACGATGCAAAGCAGGCGCTCTAGCTGCAGCTTGCCAGGGACACAGTGCCAAGAGCCACAATACCCGCTAACTCACAACATCTCACATCCTATTTGTGGAGTGTGCGTGCGTGTGGCTGCGTGTGTGTCAGCGTGCAGCGCCTGTCTGTGTCTCTCTCTCTGTCTCTGTCTGTGTGTGTGTGTGTGTGTGTGTGTGGGTAGGAGTCGTGTCCATCCTCTGGGGCCACGCACCTGGAAGCCAGCTCCATCGACATGGCAGGAGGTGTACCCAGCTCAGCGTAAACTCGGGCCAAGACCTGAAGAAACAGGGCTGGAACTCACTTGGGCCTTTGGCCTACGGCCCAGGAACATCATGTGGCTTTCGGGCGTTCGTTTTGGAAGGTTCGCCACGGACTTGGGGATGCAGATGTCTCGGGTTCTTGGGTTTGGAAATTGGCAGTAACTATAGGGCCAAAGCTGGAAGCTTGTCAACATTAGGGTTTTTGCAGAGACAGGAAGCTTCTGAACGTGAGCCTGAAGTGGCAATGTCGAAGAGTTCACTGCGAGAGACAGCTCCGCATTTAATCCGCGAAAAACTGCACAGACCTGAAGTTTCCCCCGTGCACCTCCTGGTCTGGGTTGGACTGGACCAATACACCTCACGACTATATCGCCAAACAGGGGGCTGAGGTTTGAGAGACGAGTATGTCTACTTGCATAAAACACACACATACATACATACATACATACATACATACATACACAGATTACATTACATTACATTACATTACATTACATTACATTACATTACATTACATTACATACATACATTCACACAAACATACCTACGTGCGTACATACAGACATACGTACACACCTACCTACATACATGCATACAAACATACAAGCAAACATATACAAGCAAACAAGCAAGCAAACCCACACACACACACACACAGGTAGATCTTTATACTTTATTTGTACACATAGATAAACATACAGAAAAGAACCTACGAGTCATACGAACAAGCATACAAGCAAAACACAAGCAAACACACAAACAACCAAACAGACAACCAATTAACCAACCAACCAACCAAACAAGCAATCAAGCAAGCACACAAAACAAAACAAACAACACAACATACCTACATACATGCATGCATACATGCATTCATGCAGCCCTGTGTTTCTTTAAGTTCGTTCAAATCGTTCAACCATTCAGCCACTCAACCAATTAGCCAAACAATCATCCGTTCACTCATTCATGCGTCTATTCAATCATTCACGTAGTATTCCTTGCATTTCACTTCGTTCCGTTTCATTCATTCATTCATTCATTCATTCATTCATTTCATTTCACTTAATTTCACTTCATTTCACTTCATTTCGCTTCACGTCATTCATTCATTCATTATTTCATTGATTCATGCATTCGCTCATACCTGTATGCATTCATTTTGGTTCCTTTTCATTCATTCCATTCACTCCATTTCAGTTCATTCCATTCCAATTCATTCCAATCCATTTCAACTTCATTCATGCATTCATTCATTCGTGCATTGATTGGTTCGTTCATTCATCTATCTACTCTTTCATTCGTTCATTCCGTTCATCCATTCCAAGTCATTCCTTCACTATTTCATGCGTTCACTCATTTCACTTCATTCCATTCCATTCACTCATTCATTTCATTCATTCCAAGTCATCTCACTTCCCTTCATTCAAGTTCATTCCCTTCATTTCAGTGGACGGCAATTCATGTCAATTCAGTTGAGTTTCATTTCATCCATTGGTTTTTTCATTCATGTATTCGTTCATTCGTTCACCTTCGTCGAGCTTTCTTTCTTTCGTATCATTCTATCCCATCCCATTCCATTCCTTTTCTTCATGCATTCAGTCAAGCAGCAGTCAGTCAGTCAAGCACTCACTCGTTCATCCCTCTCATGTCACATCATTCAGTTCATTTCGCTGCATTTCATTGCATCTCAATTCCTTTCAGTCTCAAGTCACTCCAGTTCTTCTCATTCAGCTCCCTCAATTACTTCATCCACCCATCCGCACATGCATTCGTTTCATTCGTTTCATTCATCCTTCGACACATGCATTCCATTCATTCGTTCAGTCGTTTGTTTCATTCATTTCGTTTGGTTTTGTTTCATTCACTTCACTTCATTTCATTCCATTCCATTCCATGCATTCATTCATTTCATTCATCCATCCATCCATTCATCCGTCCATCCATCCATCCATCCTTTTATTCATTTCATTTATTTCATTCATGCATCCATTCATTCGTTCGTTCCTTCATTTGTTCATTCCAGTTCATCCATTTGATTTCATGTCTTTCATGCCTTCATGCATTCATTCCATGCCATGTCAAGTCATGTCGTTGTCATTCCAGTCATTCATTGGTTCATTCATTCATGCATTCATTCGTTCACTTCGTTTCAATTCATTTCAGATCAACCATAGGTTCATGCACTCATTGAGACATGCATCCATTCGTTTCAATCCAATTCATTTCATGCCATTTTATGTCATTTCATGTCATTCATTCCTTCTATCCAGCCATCACCTCATTCATACACTCATTCGTTTATTTCTTTTCATTATTTCATTCATTCATTCATTCATTCATGCACTCGTTCATGCACTCTTTCATTAACTTCTTCATTTCATCTCGTGCCAAATGTTCTCAGGTCATTCATTCATATCATTAGTTCATTCATTGATGCATTCAGTCATCTATTCAGTCATTCATTTCATTCTTCATTCCATTCATTCATTCCTGCATTTCTTCATGCACTCATTAGTTCCTTCATTCACTTATTTCATTCTTTGTTCATTCATTCGTTCGTTCACTCATTCATTCATTCACCCATCCCACCCCATTCCATCCATCCATTCCGCCCTTCGTTCCTTCATTCATTAACTAATTATGTCATTGGTTAATCATGCTATCATACATGCATTAATTCATTCGTTCTTTCATTTCATTCCATTCCAATCCGTCCCATCCCATTCATTCATTGACTTTCCTTCCATTCAACCATTCATTTCATTCATTTCCCTTCCTTCCCTTCCTTCCCTTCCTTCCCTTCCTCTCATTTCATTTCATTCATTCATTGACTCGTTCATTCATTCATTCTTTCTTTCATTTCGCTCATTCACTTCATTCATTCGTTCATTCATTCATTCATTCATCCGTTCATGCATTCGTTGATTCACTCGTTCATTCATTCATTCCTTGGTTCATTCAAGAATGTATCTCATTTCGTTTCATGTCATGCCGATTCATTCCGTTCCATTCCATGGCATCGCCGTCTTTCTTTCAATCGGTCGTTCCTTCGTTCATGCGAACACACGCCTACACTGTACACACACACACACATGAGGAGAAGAGACAGACAAAGAGAGAGAGAGAGAGAGAGAGACAGAGAGAGAGAGACAGAGAGAGGAGAGAGCCAGAGAGCCTCCTTGCGAGACTGTCTTCGAGGCCCTTCTTTTCGCATGGGACTTGCGGCTCAGAGGCCAGCCCAGCAGGCGCACGTCGTGGAAGCAGCTCCCATGGCCCGAAGTCGGACAGATGGCAAACCATGGGCGCAAGGCTCGAGCGAAATGGATCTCAGGCGAGATGCCGGGGAGCTTCTGCGGAACGACAAGGACCCCGTTGTAAACCCTGTACCACCGGGGCCTTAAGCATTGGATGACGGTAGAGTTGGGAACATGTGTTGAAGATGGCTGGCGAACGAGTCCAAAACAGCCCATGCCGTGTGGGGAACAAGCAGGGGACATGTGGCGAACGAACTTGGGGCAATGTGGAAGGCTTCATGGCTTTCTGGCGGTTGTTTCCGAACCCAAAACCTTTTCGCAGTATGAACTGGGTGCTTGCAGTGGGCTAAAATCAAATTTCAATAGGGACCCCTAAAGTAAGGGATCGCATTGCTACTTGCTCAGGCATCCATAATTAACAACTAGTCCCGGGCAAGACTTCAGCAAGGGCAGGATGTGTAATTGAAGAACAGAAGAAGCATGTGGGGATGCCTCACAGGCAGGGTGTCTGACTGAGGTTGGCTCTAGGAACAATGTCTAGAGTCTAGAGTGTGGCTTGCAGGATTCGGTTTGGGAAATCAAGCAGCCCCAAACCTCAGGCACTGTGAGAATTTCTGGCCTCCCTACAAGTAGACAGGTCTTCTCCACCTCTATGACTTCAACTTCAGTGCCCGCAACGGAACCTCCACATGTTTGTTTTGTTTCATGCATGACGTCGGACTTTCGGATACTGTCCCATTGTAAGACCGGTCTTCGCAGGCAGATGCTAGCCACTGGCCGAGACGAATAATCTATTGCTTGGCCGCATTCGTGCAGAAGAAGTCTTCAATCAAGGGCAGCGTTGCGGCAGCAACTTCCTCAGAGTCCTGAAGCTCTAGATAGGTGTCGAAGTCAAGCACTGGCACCTCCAAGACACGGGCAACAGGCAACAAAGGCGAGAGCAAGGAGATCATGGCTTTGTTCGTCTCGGCGGACAGGAAAGAGATGTGGCAGGGTGCCTGGTGCCCATCCTTCAGGCCTCGACGAAGCAGCACCGCACCCGACTTCTTAGAAAGATCATAGTTTCCGGGATCCTCCACACATGGGGTCCCACTTGGTATGGCCTGGAGAACTCTTTCCAGCCTCACCACGCCATCACCTTCAGATGCAAGGACCAGCAAAGGGTCCGGGTCGTCATATCCAGGAGCCAGGCCCGCAACCGCCACGCGACCACATGCCTCGGCTCTCAACAGCGGACGTGCCGTGCGTCAACGGACATGAGCCCGGCTTGGCCTCAAGCTAAAGGCTCCTGGCAAAAGGACCCGAGATCTTGCATGAGGCTGACAGCAACTTCATTGACATCAGGGCATCACATGACGACAAAGTTCTCAACGGCATCTCAGGGGCAAACGGGCCTGGAGAAACTGTTGCGGTCCCTCCGCCAGCGGAGTGGCCAACGATGCCAAATTGCTGAGCTCCCCAAGCCCTGCGAAGCTTTGCAAGAAGCTCCGCGACTATGTCACGTCTTGGCCTTAGATGGAGTCTTAAGACTGAGAGTTCACGAGTGCAGGATTTTCTGGTGGGCTTGTCATCCACAAGTTTGAGTTCTTCTGCCAAAGCGAAACATGTTACACGAAAGGCGAGGAAAAATCTACCTTGAACCGTCAATTGTATCGGCATAGATAACGAGCTGCAATTCCGACACCGCTCCCGACAAACCCTCGGAAAAGTCGGGGGCGGCGACCACGAAGCCCTGGCTTGCGAGCCTCTCGCAGAGGTGCCTGAGGTATCGGCTGACGAAGGGTTTCTGGCTGACGCTGCAATTTCATGCGTCCTATATGAAGCCGCCATTGCCTGTTCGGCTCAGGGGTCACACCTTCAAGGCGTTGAGGGTCCATGGGTGGTGCGCTTGCCCGAAGAGGGCAAGGCCGTAGCCGAGTTGCAGCATGTCGAATCGGCTGCCGAGGTAGCCATGTGCGAAGATGACGGCACAGTTCCTTGGCCGTCCGGGCCATGTCTCTCTTGCTTGCTTGCTTGCTTGCTTGCGGGGCGTTTGGCCGTGTCTGTCTCGCTCTCTCTCTCTCTCGCTCTCTCTGTCTCTCTGTCTCTCTCTCTCTCTCTCTCACTATCGTGTTGAGACTTCTAGCCGCCTATACCTGCCTTCCAGTGCGCTGAATCTAGGTGCTGTTTGTGCTAGCGCTCCGGTACAAGAGTTTCACGCAGTTGCGCAAGCTTGTAGACGATCCGGCTAGCAAGGTTAGATGCCGGAGCTGTAGCAGCTTCGACAATCAAAACTGAGCTGCCTTTGCAGCCGAAAGCCACGGCCCAAACCTGACCAAAGCCATCTCCTGCCTATCTTCAGACCCTTTCAACTCTAACCCTAAAACTCGCCCCAAAGCCTACTTGCGTTTGAGCCCCGGAGCTTGGGGAGGAGCCCCGCAGAGGAACGGAGCTGCTGCAGCCTCGTCGGCGTCTCTGAAGCGGCCGAAGTCTCGGGCACCAAGGGCGAGGCATCAGCAAAGATTGGCATCCCGGCCTGGAGATATTTCCTGTTGAGTTTCAGACTTTGGGTTTCTGGTGGAGTCGTACTGTAGGGCTTGGCTTCAGTACTTCAAACTTCAGGGCTTTGGGTGGCAGGGGCTAGAGCTTGGGCTTGAGATTTGAGCAAGCGCGCAATCATCGCACACAGGGTAGGATTTGGGCTTCAGATGGAGTCGTGCTCTTGCAACCTCGGCCGTTGGCCAGCGGTTGAGACGAACAGAGCGGGGCTCGGCAAGCTCTGACCACTGCATGTGCACGCCCTATGGAGGCTAGCTGTCTATCTCTCTCTCTCTCTCTTTATGGGTGTGTGTGTGTATGTATGTACATATATATTATACATGACCCATATATATACATATATATAAATATATAGACACACACACACATACATAAATCACCAAGCCCATGAAGCACTGGAATCATCGCACAACTATGCTTCCTTTACTGCCTCGTTTGTTTGGATCCCATTTCTATCTAGGCTGACAATTAACATGCCAGCCGGGAGAGGGTCTTCCAGGCGCACAAGCTTTTCGAATTTTGGGGGTGCAGGCCAGAATAAGCAATGAGGAGCAATTCACATGTTCTGTGCCACAAGCCTCGCTTTGTACAGAAGTGCAAGCCAGACAGAATTAACCTGTGGTGGAGGAGTCAGGGGTTTTCGTGGGCAAGGGATCATATTAGCCACAGTTCCTGCTTCATTGGACCCAGGGCTTGGTTCCCAGAGTGCTAGACGGATTTCTGATTGAAGCACCTACCTTCCAGTACATGCCGTCAGCGTTTCCCAGGGCATTGCTGAAACTCTTCGTCACCAAAACAGACGCCGGAAACTCAAAAAACATTGCAACATGCACTTGGGCTCTAAACACCAACACCCTCAATCTCAGGCTAAGCACAGACCCCTTTCACACGAACAGCCGCCTGCAGATCAAACTCCCAGCCCACTGACCGCGGCAGGAGCGCTCCTTGCAGAACCTCTTCGAGCTTCAGGGTTCCAGGG